GGGGGGGGGGGGGGGGAAGTCTCTGTATTATAAATGTAAGACATAGCAAAAATTGTTTTTAGTGTTGAAGAATCATTTAGTTTGTAATCCAAAACAACCAAACTTTCACACTATAAAGAAGAAAACGTTTACTCTGCAACATTGTTTTTATTTTTTTGATATCAGAACTAAAAAAAAAAGGAATCGTTTCAATTAGTATCATTCATATTATGAATAGTGATATTGAAATGTAATTTATAAAATGTGTTTGTTAAGAGGTTAATATACTTTTTATGTGGTCTTTCTACGATCAGGGTAATTCCGTTCATTTTAGGTCTATTTTGTTCTTGTCCTCTGTGAGTTTCATGTAAGAGAAATACTTTGAAATCAGCAACTATATCAGGGATGAGGTTCTTTTTGAGATTTAAGTCACTCGATGTTGACTTAAATCAATGCTGGCCCTGATAAGAGCTGTTTTGCCTGACTGTGGTCAGTAAGATTGGCTAGTGAGGAGTGCATATTTAGAATCCTTTGGGAATTGAGTTTGTTTATTTATGCTACTGAGTCCGCTATTACCAGGATCACCAGGGATACTTTGCCTCCAGAGCTGGCTGTATAACCTATATGTGTTAGTACTAGGAAGTCTAGTCCACAATGCTGTTGAGCTTCCCCATACCAAGATGTTTATAAGCTATTACTAATAAAATTGTTTATATTATTATATTATAATTAAATGTTGTATAAATGATAAAATGCATTTTTTAAACTAAAATAATTTTTTTATCACTTAAATTTAACCAACCTCAACCAACATATTGCTGCATAAAATCTTATAAGATGTAAAAACAATTTTAAATGTCAACAAAGGGGCTTAAATTTGTTAAGCCTTGCTAACAAGAAAATGTTTCAAATTTATGATCAGGCCATGAATCCAGTATTATACTTTCATTATAAAATTGTTTTAATTATAATAAGACCAAAGACAAATATACTAATTAATTTTGTATACAACTTTTGTTGTTGATTGGTACTCTGTTATTACTACATCAAAACTCAATAGTACCTATAAGGCTCATGTGATTATGTAACACTGGACATGTATGTCTATAGTTTAGTCTTTAAATTGTAAATATTATATTTACAGTAGAAAAAAAACTTTTTAATAATAAATCAAATGTGGTATTAAAATCTTTCATTTAATTATCATACAATATACAATATACATATTTTATTCTGATTTACTTATTTATTTTTAGATGCTTTAAATTCTTCCGAAATATCTATTTCGTCTACTGACGATGGCAGTGTTAATATATCAAATGATACGAAGACAGTTGAGCGTAAATCCAGATCCAGATCTCGTTCTTCTGACTCATCAAATGGCTCGTCACGTTCTCAGTCAGTTTCTTCTTTACATTCAGCTTCTGGTTCTGGTACTAGAAATAAATCTAAATCAAAGTCGACATCTCGATCAAGAGATATGTTGCAAACTCAATCAAGGTCAAAGTCAAAGTCTCGTTCAAGATCTAAATCTAGATCATCTTCAGTATCATCAATGGGTTCTCATTCTTCTTTTAAAAAAAGTAAAATAAAACGTAAAATTGTATCTGATTCTGAAGATGACGATCTGCCAATTAAAAATGAGGATGATTCTGATGATGGCCAAGGTAATAATTATATATACATATATTATAGACATTTATTTTATGAGCCAATGTTTTTTTAGAACCAGAAGAAAAAATAATTAAGAAAAAAATATTTAAAAAGGTTAAAATTATGTCAGATTCAGAATCTGAAGATGATGATGATGCCAAAAATATACCCGTAATGAGTCCGATTGTGAGTATTAGAATTTAAATTATATATATATATATATTATTTGATATTTTAATTATTTAGGTTCGTAAGGAGCACGCTATATCTGATGATGAAAACACGGAGAAGGCATTGGATGTAGCTGAAGTGTTGCCAGAATTATCGGATGATTCCGATAAAGAAGATGATGTAAATGCAGAAACTGGTACAAGTACTAGCAAAAGCACTGCCAATAATGAAAACGTAGATGACCCTGATGATCCTGACGAACGTGATGACCATAATAGGTAATAACTTAGTTTGAAGTAATTCATAATAAAAACTTAATGGATTTATTTTTCCAAATATTTTTGTAATATAATGTATACATTTTTATGCAGTGATAATAATCCAGCATCAGATTTTGAGTTAATGATGATGCGAAAAAAAGAAGAACAAACAATGAAACGTCGTAGGAAGGATATAGATATTATTAATGACAATGATGATATTATTGCTGGATTAATTGGCGATATGAAACATGCAGCTGAAGTAATAAAATAAATAATTTAAACATTTAAGTACAATGGTTTAATATTGTACTAATGTACAGTTTTAAACTATTTATTTTACTTAAATATCTATTTGTGTCATGATTGACATATATATAAATATACGTATATACATCTATTAACACATATTTTTTTGTCATTTTTTATGTATTATTTAGTGTGATAGACAATTAAACAAAGAAGGAAAACCTGCAATTAACAAAATAACTATGCTGCCAAAATGTTTATCACAACTAAAGAAACACAATTTGATGTTGGCCTTTATCGAGCACAATGTATTAAATGTTTTCACTGATTGGTTAGCACCTATGCCAGACAGGAGTTTGCCTTCATTGCAAGTCCGCGAGTCATTGATAAAACTTTTAGCTGATGTAGGTCACAAGTACCAAAGTATTTGAGTACATATTATTTATTTATTTATTTTTAACTTAGTATCCTCCAATTGAACAATCTACTCTTAAGTATTCTGGAATTGGTAAAGCTGTCATGTATTTGTATCGACACCCCAAAGAAACTAAAGACAATAGAGAACGGGCTGGTCGTTTAATAAATGAATGGGCTCGTCCAATTTTCAATTTATCAACAGACTTTAAAGGTCAATTGAAAATAAGATATTATTTATTCCTCATTTAAATTGTACTTTTCAAATTAACTTTGATTATTTAATTTAAAGCAATGTCCAAGGAAGAAAGAGAAGAAAGAGATCTGGAACAAATGCCCAGACGGAAACGTTCAAGTGTAGATGATAACAAACATGATGACGATGATGATGACGAAGATGAGGGGTAACTCGATAAATATTGCCAATTTATACTTTTAAATTCATAATTTTTTTTGTTCGCATAGGTATAAAGGTTGCTTTAATTAGTTTATTATACTTGTTTTAAAAAATTATTATCTCAATCTTATAAATGTACAAAATGGGCAATTAGCGTTTAGCAAAACAAAATTTGTATTGTTTGATTTAATATTAAAGTGAATTGACCTATTATCAAACTTAAAGGTACAAACATTGCTTGTGTTTTTACTTTGATTTTGGCATGTAATTTTAATTTTTAAACACGTTATTAGCATTTTTTAACTGTAGAATTATATGTGTGTTTAAAATTTGTACTATGTACTAATTAAAATCAAACAACCTAAATCAACTTAAATGTTATATCATTGATATATTATAACCCAGGTTCTCATTTTTTTTCACTCATCGCCAATTTTGAGAATCAATTATTTTCTAGAGCCCACCAAAATGTTTTATACTGACCATCTGTAGACTCGAGGATGTATTCAAAGGGGATGTGTGGGTCAGATCCCCCATAGGCCTTTTTTAAAATTGTATAGAGTAGTATTCTTATAGTGTTTCTTGGAGTGTTACGAGGAAATATCAAAAAATGGCTAGGATTTTTGTGAATCGTTATTCAGCCACATTCAACAGAAAGCACACTATTATACAAATAATTAATTAAAATTTATTCAGGTCTTAAACTGTCTCCCCGGGTGGGTACCAACGCCTACAGGAGGAGGAGGGGTCCTATCATTACTTTGAGAAAGACTGGTCTAGAATGAATTATATTTTTAGCTTATCATTGGGTTTTAAATAGTGTTTAAAATAATATTTTATTACAGTTGAATTTTGTTAATAAATATTATTAAGCTAGACAACTGTATTTATGTGCACTAATATTTTTGTTATAATTATTTTTAATTTAGTCCAAAAACATTAAAACCAGGAGACAAAGGTTGGATATCCAGAGCCCGTGTACCTACTCCATCTAATAAGGATTATGTGGTTAGACCAAAATCAATGACAGATGCTGATATTTCAAGGGTAATTTAGCTTACACTAATATAAGTTAATATATTTTAATAAATATGAATAATTAACAACTAATGCATTAATAACATTTGAAATATGTAGGCTGTAAAGCGACCAATGAACCGTTTTGAAAAGCACTTAAAAAATTATATGGATAGCAAGAGAAATAATCAATCTAAGCGTGCAGTTCCGATATCAATAGAAGGAAGAAAAATGGGGTTGTAAATATTTTTTTATGATGATTTTTAGATCGTTGTAAAAACATTGTGTTTGATAATTATTAGAATACTTTCATTGATTTAGTACTTAATACAATAAGTTTTATTAACTATAAAACAAATATTACTTTTAAGTACTTAAATTAGTTAACATTTGTATTAGTTTTTTTTAATTATCTCATTAAATCAATTACATTTACAATTTTAATGTATTTAAGTTTCTTAGATAATAACTGTTTGTAATTATGTTTATTGCATTAAGGTAATCATCCATTATGAATACTGTCAAGAAATAAATAAGGTTTATTTGTAGTTGAACAAAATAAAATATTAAGCACAAAAGTATCTTTAAATTAAATCTGTGTTATTCATTCTTGTTCATTGGTCAATACTAATGTTTAATTGTACAAGTCAAAATATGTAAATTTATTATAATTAAAATTAGTACCAAATTGTTTTTAAGTTATAAAATATCAATTTTTAAATAATCCTATTTGGTTGTTAGTAATCATACCTTATACCACTAAATAAGGATTGAGTGTATGGAAAGCCTAAAAACATAGAGGGCTCTTTTGTTTACTCAATATGTATAGTAGTGCAGGGTAGTTAATAAGGTGAGATGAGTAGATTACTGTATTTTCTCCTCAAAATAGGCTACATCACTGTATTTTTTTATCAACACAGTTTATAACTGTTTGAGATTTTATGACATGTCTCTTAATACTGTAGTTAAACACAGATCTTGTTTAGTAGTATAAGGTCTATGATAGTAATCATTTGAATAGTTAAGGCCTCTGCAAACTCTATTCATTTTTCATCAAATCGACCTTAGCGACTGACAAAAATTTAGGTACTTCTAGTTTTTTGATTTAAAAAATGTAAAGATGTTTTAATTGGTCAACAAGTCTACTTTGCATCGGTCGGACCATATTTTTTATATTTTTGATATTTTTGAAGATATTCAATACTAAAAATTTAAAAATTTATAAAATGTAAAATATTTATTCTCGTCAAGAATTTTTCTAAAATTGAAAAAGTGCTCCTCCGACCGATGCAAAGTAAACTTGTTAACCAACACAAACATCTTTACATTTGTTAAATCGAACCACTAAAAGTACCTTAATTTTTGTCAGTGCGACGGCTATTTCACGTCCATAAATTGGTTTTGAATATTTTGATCTAGACATTGTATGACTTGTGCGTGTGCGTGCGTAATAACAATGTATTGTAAATTGATGCAGTTCGCGGGTGATGGTAGGGAAGTATACACACACAAAGACGATCAGTAATCGCAGGAACGAAATAATTGCCTAAACACAACTCCTTAAAAATGACACATTTGCAGGGGCCTTAAGGGGACTGCAGCAATCGTATTTTTTATACGTTTTAGACCAATAAGCGGTAGTAAATTACACAACTTCGGAATGTCCGATTTAAATTATTAATACATGTATGAACTCTTTGACAAAATATCTAGGCTTTTTAGGAAGTCGATTTTTGATTTTCAATTTTAAAAGCCCTTAAAATTAAGATATTTTTTTCAAAAATCTCATGAAATATTTGCATTATATTTGTATTTATTTTGAGCATATCTGATTTTAAACCAAAAAAGTGATTCCTAAAGAGCATAGTCTAGAAGATTATAAATTCAACCGTTTTTTTTAAATTTCAATCAAACTTCAGGAAGTATGTTTAATTTACTACCGCTTTTAGCAGTTTTTATAGTTATGCATACAAGAATATATTTCGTTTTTCGCTATGCATTGACATGTGCGTGCGCGTGTGAGAGTTGCTTCCGGCGGCTCGGCGCGCAGCGGCTGTTGCTCGGTGCGGGAGATATCGATTCTTGGAAACAATTAGTGGATAAGGATTACTGGATAGGTATAGCAAAATCACTAATGGATATTAATAATAATCAAATATTTCTATAATAATACAACACATATTATATTAGGAAATATAAAGTTATACCGCCTATATGGCTATATGAATCATTTGATTTCAACACTACACTCCGATCAGTAAAGTTGTCTGTAAAGTGTTCAGTGTTTCGTGTTTTTTTTTTTCATTATTTTAAAAAATGGGTAAGGACTGGCGTTTTGGCCGAAAAACTAGGCGTAAGTTAAGTGCACCTAAATTAAAAAAACACAGATTGAACAATTTACAATCGATAAAAAAAAAAAGTGACAAAGATCATAGCTGCGATGTTCAGGTAATTATATAAACACATATAGAATTTAGAATAATATTACTATTTTAAATATTGAAGAATATTCAGTATTATTTTATTTTAATTGTGACAGGGAAATGCTTTGTTTATTTTAAATTGTATCTATCGTAATTCATACTATAGGCTGTCTACAGCATTTTTATTAATTTTATTGTATTTTTTAAAATTTAACTAGGTAATAGCTATTATGATAATATCATAAAAACAGATGCCTGTATGAATGTGTAACATAAATATATAAACACATTATAACAATAATAATCGTTTCTTTTAATTATTATCATAGTTCCAGAAATTCGTATTTTGGATAATGGGCGGGTGGCAGTATGATAAAAACGATAACGGATTACACACACTAATGTTAATTTACTACTCACACATAGACAAAGCCAAAATGTTCATGTCATACAAATTGCCTAAATATTACTCCTTAAAACATGATACGCTGGAGCCCCCTTAAGAAATTCAAACATAAGGATAAAGATTACAGAGTATGTATTGGTTTCTCAATTTTCTAGGTGTCTGTCTTAAGACAGATTTCCATGACTGGTGTACTTGCCAAATATTCGTTACTTGTGCATATTTGCCATGTAGTGGGAATGGTATACTTGTACAATTATTTGTCACTCGTGCATTTCTCGAGGATTGTCGGTAAATGTATCACAAGTCAAAGGAACCCCATTATACTTGACAAGCTCATCAGCCATGGGAACAATCATGTTTCCACCATTCGTTGGCATAGACCGGGCATACAGTAGCACCTATGGCATATGCGAATGTGACATATATCAATAGTGAAAACCTCCCAATAGCGGACCTTTTCTTGTGACCAATTACAAACTTTACCGTAACTTTATTTAACTTTATCCTTAAGATTTGCCATTAAATGTGTGCAAACGCATCATCGGCAAGGAACACATAAGGTACATTAAACTCTCTTAACGGCAATGGAAGTGTAGGTGGTAGTATTAATTGATCTTCTTTGATACTCACTCTCTCTTGTACAAAGATGTATTTTTAAATACACCCCCATCGCTAATTCTTCCTTGGCATCCGATATTTGCTTAAGAAATGTTATAATTTGCGTCCACCAAAGCAATATTCAACTTTTCACTTTTTAATTTGGCAATTTTTTTGTATTGGTCACCACTTAACAGTTTTCTATTCGTACTCATATTCACAAAGTAAATAAGATATTAACAAAAAAACCAACAACGACAAAATAAGTAGAAAAATCAAAGCGACACAGCTACAGCGGTAAGAACTCTACACTACGCAATACAGCCAGTACGCACAGACTGAATTATTATTAATTATTATCACTTCTCCAGAAATAAAATTAAAAATCGTCAACAAAATATTCGTATAGAACCGGCGTGCCGTCTTGATATTATTAGATTATACCACGATTAAAGATAGTATAGATTACTATCTTTAATCTTGGATTATACTATTATTGTCAATTGTTATAAAAATGTACTATAGACGCTCACTGGCCGCGCCGCCGCCGCGTGAATATTCAAAATAGACGGCACGCGGCTGTAAGAAACTATAAAAATAATAAAATATTCGAATTCTATTTTAAACCAATTCCATTGTTTTCAATAATTTAAAATAATCTTGTAGGCTGTTGTAGTTATTAGAGTATTTTACAATAACAGAAAACGATTTAATAAGTCTCACCAAGTCAATATACAATGCCATCATTATCGAAAAAAAAATCCCTTGAAAAATATGCCGCCCCTCAAAATTTGTCGCTGTAGGCACGTGCCTATAGTGCCGTCATATAAATACGCCACTGCATCCATACAAGTATACAACGACGTCGCATGGGAAACAATACAAATTCGTATTATAGAGAAATTCGTTAAATAGAACTTAAGTATGATTAATAATGAAGGTCATGATTCTCAAACATCATTCGTTACACTGCAAATTTTTGTCAACCAGTAAGAGAATTTGTTTCAAAAATAACTGTTTCAGGTTTAAAATTATATCCTATGATATGTTTGTTTATTATGTTACAAAATAAAAAATTTGCTTGTCTTAAACTAAAAATGTAAATTATCTATGTATTTATGAAAAGGTGCTTTTTTGCATGTATAGCTTTTATTAATTCAATTAGATTGTTTTATTGTGTGTAACTACTAACTTTAATAGGAACTTATAATAAACTAGTTACTATAAATGTATTCATCAGACATTAATGTATTAACAACAGAAAGCTTTTGTATTCTTCATTTATACTACTGTAAGGTAAATGTTTTGTCCTCTTAATTATCAATGTCGGGAAAGTTCTTTTTTAAAAGGATCTCCTCCAGTTCCTTTTTCATTTCTTAACATATGAACTCGTTACAGATTCTTGGTCTTTATTTAAAGAAAGAACAAGCTCCAAATTCAGTACCTCCCAAAAAGAACTAGTTCCAATTATCGTTCCTTTTTTAATTAAGTTATTAAAAAATTGCTAATTTGGAATAATACTTTTTTTTATTTATAATATTAAGCAAGAACAACGATCAATGAATAAAACATAAATCAATTAAAAATACCATCGTATGTATTCACTCTTAGACACAAAGGAAACTATACAGTATACTACAATTTAAAATGTGTTTTTAAAATTTAAAGGCACTTTGATTTTTGTTCAGCTTTTATGAACCTAAGTACTTATACTACTGAAATAAGTTAAGTTTAAGTTAACTTTCATGTTAAGTACAGGTTTTTAGCAATCCAATATTTTATATTAAATTTTACAGAGAAAACCAAAATATTGAATTCTTTAAATACAGTGACGAAACAGAAGTTTTCCATCACTATTAAATGATTTGTATTTGATGCTCTTAATTAAATTTGACACATCCATGATCCATACTACAGTAACCTACTGTAACCAACATTTAATCATGTCCATGAAATTCCCTAGCGAAGGAATACGAATGTTGACAAGATCAAAATATATCTTCTGTACACCACCAAAACTATATCATTTCATGGTGAGCTAGTCAAATTGTTGCTGTAACTTAATATATCAGTATAAAAATTGAGCATAATTTTGAAGTTCTCCAAAGTTTCTTTAGATATTTGTTTACTGGTCTTAGGAAATAAGCAGTTGAAACTTTTGAGTTTGG